GAATACTGTTTTATACGCTGTTTTTTTTTGCTTTTTGCACAAAAGGATGCTCTAAATTATAAGAATATAACATACACTGTATAGTACTGTGACAATATTCATCGCAATAAAGCAATTTTGTATTATTTTTATGATTAAAATAAACTATTGTTAAGCAATCGTTTCTTTTATTTAAGATAAAGATTCCCATCACTACACCACCATCACTATCAATTTTTCCGTCAGTTGGAATGTTGCCAAATCATGAATCGTTTTGATTTGTTAATATTGAAATAAATGCCGTGCCAGAATTAGAATTTGATTTGTCTTTCGATTTCTAGAATTTCATTACGATTTTCGGAGATTTTCTTTAACAGTGTGATTAATTTCATATCTCTGAACTTTTTTGGGTAAGTTCGAGTTCGTATAGTAATTGTATCTATACTATAATGGTAAGTAAGATTTGGAGGTGTGGCCGGCAGATTTTACTGTCCAAAATCTATTTCCTGACCTACGGTATCTATATCCAATGGCACTTTTTTTGAAGAATGTCGTATGACCTTCCCAAAAGTGCTTTGGTTAGTTTTTTCCCAATATTACATTATAATTCATTTCTTTTTAGTATGTTTGTACTTGAAGAATTATTGAATAAGATTGATGAATGTATTTTAACCAGTACAAATATGAAACCAAGTTCACCAATTCAAATCTGACGATTATACTGCTTGTAAAAGTTGTAATTGTATCTTATTGACTTTTTACAGACTTATGTACGCTTTCACGAGAGGGTGGAGCTATAGTGACGCTGCCCACGAAATAGATAATCCTGGTACCGATCAACATCTTTCTCCACCTACCATTGCATTCTGGTATGTTAGCTACGAATTTATTTAAGTACATTTATTAGGTACAGATATTGTCGAGAAATGGTTGTTGATCCTTTTTCAACAATAGCACTAGACGATGAGCCGTTAGGTGGACCTGGCACAGTGGTCCAAATCGTCGTATCCAAGCTTGGCAAGCTTTAAATTAAAGATAGAAACCAACCTGGCAAGTACAATCGAGGGCGCACTGTCGAAGGCCACCGGGTTCTAGGGATTATCGAAAAATCGGGAAGAGATGTCAGGATGGTGAAGGTGTCACAACGTGTGTTCGTCCCGGACCCGAGATCCATACGGATATGTGGAGGGCATAACAATGGATTGAGTGCAGCGGGGTATGTTCACAAGGTTGTGAACCATTCTGACCCCGAAAACCGCTTTGATGGTAAGTTATTTATATTTGCTTATTCTACCTAGATATGTATATACATACACAATGTCTCAAATATATTTATTATCTTTCAGCTCCTGACGGCACTAACACCCAGCGCATAGAGGCGACCTGGAGGCCAGCGAAAGATTATTTCCGCAGCCGACATGTGCCTGTCGAAGAATTTGCAGACACTCTCTGCGATTATCTTCGGCGTAGGCCCTATCGCGTTCCAGTAATTGATATTTTCGCGATTTTATTAGAGGCAATTAGATCAGATTATCAGTTCTAAATGCTTCTAATTAAAAAACAAAAATCGCCTTTTTCAAGGTGAATCCTTAATGATGAGTTACTGAAGGAATAGGGGAGTGATTATAGATCGCCTCCACGTGGCTCTCCCTGGAAACACCATAATGGTGGCTAAACGATCGATAAATAACTACATATTATGTATTTTTATATGCAATTTCTATTGGCACTACCTCTTTGTTTTTTTTTTCAAATCTCACGAGCAGCTGGTGAATTCTTCACTGTTTATGCACATACTCAATATTATACCTAATTTTCAGTAAATATTGGCTGAATTACTTAGAAAACAACCCATCTTCATAACAAATTTATTTTTCAATTAACTTCATTTTTGATTTACGTATTTCTCCCAACAAAACGTACAATTTGGCAACAACGGACATCATTTCTCTTATCTGTCAAGAAATGAAAGTTAGAAAATAGCAGTTGAGAATTGTTCCTACTCTCAAACATTTATTATAAACGCAAGAAGAAACTTGAAAAAAAAGTTGAGACGCTTCAAGAAAACATTTGGACCTTTTAACACAACACCTCTAAACAGTTTACCCAGAAGAAACCATCATTGAGGTATGTATTTGGAACTGTCATTTAATCTTATTATAAGGAAAGTTTTTAGCCTTTTTCTTTGAAAACCCAACAATTTTTTACACTTTCACGTCTATTTTCCTTAGTACTATACAGTTTATGTTATATTCTTACAATTTCGAGCATCCTTTTGAGTAAAACGACAAAGAAAAGCGTATAAACCAGTATTCTATTCTAGATTATTACCACCAAAAATGCAACTTTGAACTTAAAATAGCAAGCAGAGGGTTCCTTGAAGAAAAAATGATATTTTCGTGGAAGTTACATCCTAATATTTCATTTTAAAATAAGAAATTAAATATTTGCGATATACGCTAAAGTATAGTCTTACCAAATGAACTTCATCGATAACAAGGAGATCTATGCACTGAGCCTCAAAGTACAATATGTTGTATTTATCAAATGTGTTGCACGATATATCGATGTTGTAGCATGTATAGGAAAAAAAAAGTGAGGAAACTTAAATACATTTTCCAATTCGTTCGTTAATTGACTTGTAATCTTAACATAAAAGGGAAAATCTATTAAAACCGTGGCATAGGAAAGAAAAACATTTTCTGGTTAATAAAGAAATATCAATAACTGAACAGGTTTGATATTTGAAACACTCGTATGAAAAGCGGGCTGATAGTTATGATAGTCACAGTAGTGTGTTGTAGTATTAGTAGCTGCAATTTAGTGTGTTTCCTAATTGAATGTCCATGTCTAAGGGGGTCCACTTTAAGATGAAAACTTCATATGGTCATATGTCCTAAATGTTTTAACCTTTGAAACACAGGGTCGTAAAAAAGTTAAAAAAAAAATCGTAAATTATGAATATGTTTATGTAATATCACTTAATGAAATTTGGCACACATATACACGTGTCAAGAGATATTTTTTTAATTTCACCTGCCTATTTTGATAGAAAGTGATGGTATGCGTTGATTTCTCTCTTATTAGAATTTTTAATCACTTCTAAGCAAAAATCACTTGAATTTTTTCAATCTGATGCACGGTTTTTTCATAAAAACGATCATAACAATATTGTTAACATGACCACCATGCAGAGAATTTTTTTATTTTTTTGGTGGAAATCGTGGGTCGGACATACAAAATTGAATTTTTGACATAGTGACATTGTCATACTAACGATATTAGGATTATGAAAAGAAACATTATCTTATTTTTTTAAGCGAATACCATGCATCGGAGTGAAAAAAACGAATGGATCAAATTTGTTTAGAAATTGCTGAGGGTTTCAAGAGTAGTTTTTATTTTAAGAGAAATTAGTTGCGTACTATCAGTGTCTGCCAAAATAGGCAAGTGAAATCAGTACGAACGTTACTGGTGAAAATTGAAAAAAAAAATCGTATATTAAAAATACCTCTTGGTAGTACATATAAGTATTTGAAGTAGTATTACAGATCTTAACAAAAAATTATTCTTATTTTTGAAAAATTTACCACCCTGTTTCTCAAAAGTCAAGACGTTTAGGACATACGACTATATGAAGTTTTCTTCTCAAAATGGAACCAAAAGTCGCCCCCTTTAATATTGACATTCAGTTGGAAAACACCCTATATATTTTATGTAAGTAAACCTAAAATTATTAAAGGTTATTGTAATACACTATATCGTAGTTTTTCATTCTGGATATGTTTTTTGGCTATATATTTATTCATATTTTTTGTTATTAGTTGTACCTTTTAGATATTATAAAGACTGCATTTGATTACTGATATGTGTTTTGACATACTATCTAGGAATTCCTTGACAATTTCATGTATTATATTTTTCAGACGGTAAGGATTTGAAGAATATAAATAAAAGTATTCTTGGTAAAATAAATGTTTTTGTATTCTCCATTGTATACTCACAGAAATACAATAGGTTCAAAAATATCTAGAAATATAGATTTCATCAATTTTTAATCCTTCTCTTAAAACAGATGTTTTTTCTCTAGCATGATGTTAAAACTAGATTATATGCTATTTTCTAAATTACAAGCTATTTAAACAGGGCTAAAAGGATATCTAATCGATTACTCAAACGGAACTTTCCAGTTTGGGGGCACATGGAAAGTTGTAAATGTAAATTAACGTTCCTTACACTCGAGTTATTCTGTCCAGTATCTTATACCCTGTGCTTGCCAGGATCAGATGTATGTTTGGCAATGCAACTAAAACTGAAAAAATACTATTAAAAGTAATGGTGATTTCTTACGTTTTAGTACCAATATAACCATACGTGTTGAAATATGTATTCCATATAGCTTTTTTACTACATCACTGGAATTTCAGTTTTGTTATTGTCATCATTTGCCACTGTGCTGTGATGTCAAGTATTCAATCTCAAACCCATGGCATCGGCTTTGTGAGATTTTGTTAAATAGAAACGTCGATTACAATATTAAAGAAGGCATCGAGTTTCGTGCGACATTTTCGCTATCTCACATGCAACGTTAACCATTAGACATTCAAGAATCCCCTGCTCAGGCCTAACAAAGCTCATCTTGAACCCCATAGCTTTTAACTTTTATGATTATTCAGGATTATCCCTATATTTAACTTACAAATTGCAGCGTAGCACATGTCAGTCACAAAAAGCAAATTCAGGTTTTGCTTCTGTAAGGTTGGCTCCTTCAAATATGCTTTCAAGTGCTTGGATGCATGAATCCATTCTTAGGAAGATCATACGCCTCTTTATCCTTCCAAAATAGAGATTGAATTTTACTGAGTCTTGTATGATGCATCAATTCAAGAAAAATTAAACATGTTACACCTTGGTGTATGCTGCAACCTTATAATAATAATTTTTAGAATTAAGGTATCAAATTTTTAGGTTAAGGTTCCCACTAATGTAAAAAAATATCAGGGCACGTTTAATTCAATTTCAGAGCATTTACACATTATACATAGCCTGACACTCTACAACATCCAAAGTCAAAAAATGATTTGTGAACAGGCATCTCAGACATCAACATTGCAGTTGCACTTGGGATACAATGATTCTTATCCAACATCTCGTAAAGTCTGTGAGAATGAATCACATCTGAAAAAATGCGATAAGTACGAGTAGTATATAAATATGAATATGAATTTTGTAACTTAGCTACCTTCATCAAGGATCAGCTTGGTTGTTAGCTGTTGGGCTTTTATATATAAATACACATCCATTTACATTAAATTATTCATTTTTAGATCATTAATACCAGATATGGAATTTGAAGATGCCACAGCTTGTGGAATTTGTTCAATGTAGGGAACTATTATTGACTGACCAACATTATTTGCAAGAAAATAATAAATTAAGCTTCTGACTTCGATTCATGTGTTTGAAACTTCTTAGACGTCAAAATAACAAAACATAACCTTTAGTCAGAACTGTCAGCATGCCAGAAATATAAAGCAGTACACACAAGTACCTTACTGAAGGAGACGTGATGTTATGGAAATCAAGGAGGCTCTAAGGGCCGTATCGTCAGTCGTTCCTACAATTATTGTAGGACGCTTTTAGCGCTCTATTTTGAAGTTATGTTGCAAATATCTATTTGCATCAAATTGTTCATGGTTTTGATTTATATCATCTGTTACATCAGCCTGATATTTCCTACAATTAAAAAAAAATAGCTGATGCTAATACGAAACAGTAGAAATCTAGAAATACTCCAGCCTTTCTGAATGAGAGAAAAAACTATGAAAATCAAGTAGGCCACAAAGGCGTCCTACAATAGGAATGTCTGACGATACGGCCCTTAAACCCCTTTCATCGTTATACTGGGGGAATTTACGTTCGACTTTTTCCGCCGAAATGTTGGAGAAAATCGCATGTGAATTATACATGTGAATAGTATTACGAAGTCGAGTTATATAAAGACGAAGCTCTTAAATTCTAAACTTCAAGTGCCGTAAAAAAAATGTGCGAAAGCATCATATTATATTGTCAATTTTAGCTTACTCTCTAGTCCTCATTTACCCATGCCCAGACTCGGTTTGCAAGTCAAAAGTTTCAGAACAACCGTTGCAGATTCATATTTGGTCTTGGAAGTATAGTAGCGTTTCTTCAAAAATCAAGGAGCTATAGTTTCTCAGAGTTGATGGTTTATACAGGGTCCGTCAGAAAGAACGCATGTTTTTTAAATGAGCAGTACTGTTAAAATAAGTATGAGAAAAATATTTTATTATATCAAAATACTCAGAAATACATGCTATTTTTTTGAGTAAAACAAAATTTACGTTCTAAAAACTATGTCGGCCATATGGCGCCCTTGAGCCGGAATGCAGGAATCAAGCCTCCCCCGAAATGAGCTCCTTGCGTTGGCCAGCATCCGTGCAGGAATTTGGGTTACTTCTCTTATTTCCTCCTTTAAATCGACGAGGATGTGAGGCTTGCTTTGGTAAACTTTTGATTTCAGGTAGCCCCGTAAAAAAATCACACGTTGACAGGTCCGGGGGAGCGAGGGTGCCATGGAATATCGCCGGAGAGGCTTGATTCCTGCATTTCGGTTCAAGGGCGCCATATGGCCGACATAGTTTTTAGAACGTAAATTTTGCTTCACTCAAAAAAGGGCATGTATTTCTGAGTATTTTGATATAATAAAATATTTTTCCCATACTTATTTTGACTCTACTACTCATATAAAAAACATGCGTTCTTTCTGACGGACCCTGTACAATTATTCCATGGCTTCATTTTTGCATAGAATTTTTCAAACTGACAAATCCGTCTATTTACCAGATAAGTTGATTCCCCGTGAAAACCAAATTTCTCTAAAATCTGTAGAACATATCTACTTTCCATTACTAGACATCGTACGTCAGTTTTTGAAAGGTCCTTCACTTATAATGCGCCAAGTTATACAATTCTTTATCAGCTAACTCTAAGAGCTTAAGTGTGCAGAGCTTCAAGAAGACAGTCAAGTTGCCCTTTCTGGGCTCAGCACATTTATTATAGGTCCGTTCTATTGTTTCTATTCTTCGTATATGTTCATATTCTATATTAAATACAATAAGTTATAGCGTTTCGCTATCAAAAAATCGCCCATCCCTGTTTGAGACGAACACATACCTTTTCATGTATTTCGGACGTGCTCTGCGCATCACAAAACGCGACAGTTGCAACATCCTTGAGTATGGGCATCTCGATGGAGCAGTCCCTACCGTCGAGCAGCGCGACCAACGGTCGCGTCTGCATTGGTCCATTCGAGATGGGGGCGCGCGTTTCGAACCTCGGCCGTTTGGGCATCATTTTGCGCTTGTCCATGGACGGCAGGCCGACGCGTCACAGACAACACATGCGGTGTTAATACACCGTCGTCACCAAATCACACCGCACCGACACTGTGGGGCTAGCACACAGCACGTTACGGACTAACAGCAGCACGTCACGTCCGTCGCACGCGCTCGCGATGCGCACCGCACGCACGCCACTCGCCGCACGGCCGCTACCCGGCGCGCACGTCGCCGCTGCTAGGTTAGGTTATGCTCCGGCACCGGGATTCGTTGGATGCATTTTCATTCATGAATAACACCTGAAACAAACAAAAAATGGCGTCAAGTATGTTGAATCTACACTTCCCACGAACAAATAGTTTAAAAAGATCCAATCTTCTTCGGACCAGCCGAAGGGGTTGACTGCACCCCTTGAACGTGGAAAATGTGTTTTTGCATTTTTGACCTAGCCAGACATAAAGTTACAGGCTAAAAATGAATCAAAAGTGTTCCTTTCATTATTTGATAATATGTGGTCCCCGGACCCGTCAAAGGGGTTGATTTCGCCACTTGAAGGTCAAAAATGCGTTTTTTGCATTTCTCACCTAGCCAGAAAAAAGTTCCAGGCCAAAAATGTACATTTGTTCAGGTACGTATTATGTACACCAGGACAAAACTAGATTGCCATGCATTGTGGCATCCGTCAAATAGTTAAAACATCCTATTAAATCTAATAGCTAGAAAATCGATCTATTATTTCTTGCATTTTCATTGGCGGATTGATTAGATCCTCTGCCATTTGTAAATTGATAAGAGATAGCAAAATACATGAAAGTTGTACTGTTTTCTCTATAGAAAAGCATAATGTTGGAATCAAAAAGTACTCTTGTTTATAAAACAATCGCTTTTCACTGATAATGAGAGAGCTTTGACAGCTTCCGTCAAATCGCATTTCGATAAGGTCTTTTCCCATTGGTTCAATTGACCGCCAATTATTAATGTTGATGAAATCCGCTATTACTGTATTATAATTCTGATCTTGCATATATTAAAAAAAAAGAGAAGATTATTTCTTTTCATACAATATTGAGGATTTCGGCCTGATTATATGTAAAAAGTAAGATATGTTTAGATTTCATATGCCTAAAATTGACACAAAAAAGTCCTCTCAGGTGGGGTGTCGAGCCCAATCTACCGCGTGAGAGGCGGAAACACTAACCACTAGATTATCAGCGAGTTGCTCATATTCCGTCCAAACGCTGTATACGAGGGATGTCTTTTAAGTTTTGCATATAGAAACATAGTAGGCCGCGCGGATCGAACGTCAGTACTGAATCTTAACCTCACTCTTTAGTAGACTTAAATTCAAAGTTTCACAACAATACGTGCAGTGTTCTCACTATAATGAATTTTTAAGTGTCACCAAGTCATTAGAAAAATGGAACTCAGCCAATAACATTTTCGCGCCATAATTTATTACAGCTTTCAGAGACAATTATCGCAACAAGAATGCCTTGCTGAGTTACTGTCTGTTTTCGGCAACGAAGCGCCACATCAGTCGACAATCTCCCGTTGTTATGGAGAATTCAAACGTGGACGGGTGAGTCTTGGCGACGATTCCAGGGTGGGTGCACCAAAAACGGCAGTTACCCAGGAAAACGTCGATGCTGTGCGCAAACTCATCATTGAAGATAGTCATGTGACATATCGCCAGGTTGAGGCGTCCTTGAAGATCTCAGTAAGAAAATTAGTTTCTCATTGGATACTCGTCCTGTTGACTGAAGAGCAGAAAGCAGCCAGGGTTTTCAATTCCGGAAACTCAAAAAATGTGTACAGCATTGTTAGTGGTGATAAATCGTGGATTTACTGTCATGAACCAGAAAATAAACGACAGTCGGCTGTTTGGGTGTTCCAAGGTTAAGAAGAGCCAACAAAAGTCATCCGTTCTGTCGAAAAAGATGGTCGCGACATTTGAGTCAAAAGCGGGTCATATTGCAACAATTCTTCTTAATGAGCAAAGAACTGTTACTGCGGATTGGTATACCACCATTTGTTTGCCAAAAGTCATCACCGAGCTTCGAAAAATCAACCCCGAAAGAAGAATCATCCTCCACCAAGACAATGCAAGCTCGCACACAGCCCAAAAAACAAGGCAGTATTTAATGGAAGAAAACGTGGAATTATTGGACCATCCTCCATATAGTCCCGATCTAAGTCCTAAGGATTTCTTTACTTTCCCGAAAATTAAAAACACTGCATGGTCAAAGGTTCCAGTCACCAGAAGAAGCAGTTGACGCATTCAAAAATGTCGTTTTTGATCTGCCAGCAAACGAGTGGAATAAGTGCTTCGAAAATTGGTTCGAGCGCATGCAGATGTGTATTAATCTTCTGAGAGAATACTTCGAAAAACAATAAAGTCATTTAAAACTACCTACCGTGTTGTTTTATTTCCATATGCAAAACTTAAAAGACATCCCTCGTACAATCGAGTGTTTACTTACACTACATCGGATAGTTTGAATGAAAATGGGTTGTTGTGATTTAAGTATAATAGTTAGTCATATGGCCCTTAGACAATTTGGTGAAGCAAGATAGTAGTACTATAAACATGTAGTACTTTAAGTATTATCAATAGTCAATAGATTTCGCAGCGTACTCCAAATAATGACGTTTTATACGAAACTTTTTGGGTTAAAATTCAGTCATGCTTCAGACAATTTACATAAGGCCAATGAGTGATACACCTAAACATTCCTCATGTGTAAAATATATCTAATAGGTGCGTAAAATTGTTGGAGGTAGATTGATATCTATCATTCCCCACCTCCTGCAACCCCTTGCCCCAATTATTCACTCCTCAAAAATTTACCAAATATGAGGATTCTTTGGAACGTAAAAAAATGGCCTGCCAGTAGTTACTCATCTTGCAACGTTGGTCTCCACATTTGCGCGACAGCGCCCACCGAGGCACCGCTGCCGCAAGTTATCGTTCATTTCATGTACCTATATGTTTTGTACGCTGCAGTACGGATAGATTAGTCAACCGGACCGGTACCCTGGGCGGTGAGCTTAGATTCGACTCCTTCTTTTCAACAGTAGAGGTTCTGATGATATTCTGACGTTTTTTTTTTTTAAATTGGAATTTTATATTCAACAGTACTAAATTAATATATCTATGATAAATATTAATGATTTCAGAATAAAAATATATATCTAGCCGTAAAGAGTTAATCTAACAAAAACGTTTTCTATAACAAAACCGTTTAAACGTTCTATGGAAAGATTTAATTGGAAGACGTTTAAGCGGGTGACGGTTAATCGGACGGAATTTAATCGATAATCCGAGTTGGCGCCTTAGAAGCATTGAATTGTACCAGATTGTTGCGTCCCAGGTAAGACAACATCCAGGTCTTTCGTTAGAGATAAAGTCGCTAGGAGTCTTTTCTCAAACGCTCAAACGCAAAGATCGGCTTGACAATCAAAATGCATGCACAACGCTGATGATAAATTTCATCATGTATGCCGGTGAAAAATTGGCATATATGTTATTGATGAAGTTTTCCGATGAATCGAGGATATGTTTGGTATGTTGCCTAAGTATCCATTCAATCTAATGTTTTGGGAAAATGCAGAAATGACATTACAAAGTCTCACGCTTGGGGTGAAGTGAAGTAAAAGAGCAATACCGTTTTAGAATAGCCAAGATTAATCAACTAGAATTTGGGCAATCCTGTTATCCGTGGTCCGGTTATCGCACGGAGCAGCGCGCTTATACCAGACCAACGTCGACGCCTCTCCGAATACGTACTCCCGAAAGACATTTAGCATTTAGCAACTTTGTCGAAACCAAACATCGTACAATAATAGTTGGGAGTTGAAATTAGTTTAACAGCGCAACCCTTTTCTACTCTCTCCCGTCTGCGGCGTCGCTCTCAACTCCTCAACTTCAATTGCTTGGTGTATGTTTACGGCGAGTTCTGAGTTGCCCGCCCTACATGTCCAGCGACGTTACAATCCTGCTTTCAATTAGGGTTGCTATATGAAGTAAGGGAAAGAAATACATATACTCAAATCCAATAAGATTTCATCGCTGGAATTCTAGGAAAACAGGTATGAACTAGGGATCGACTCTTACCAATATGTAAGTTGGTATTATTGGTTTATTTTGTCGACATATGAATCGGCCGATATGACTGGGTATAAGTATTGAAGTAATCTCTTTTTGTTTCATGTGTCTGTATGTCAACCAACTGTTCATGTATGTGCTGGCCATCGATAGTTGTTTTGCGCTCATGTACTCATCCGAACCAAAAACACACCAGACTATATACAAAAAGAAACGCACGGCCGATAGGCTGATATATAGGTATCATATTATAACGCCAATTGAATGTCACACGGTGTCGTTGTTAATATTGATATTTTAAATATTCTCGGAGTAGCCCCAAGAAATATAAGGTCATATTTAGTATGTAAAAACAATTTGACCTTTTAAATTAATGCGCAGAAAACAAATATTTCGTAACATCTTATTCGGCACGTGGAAGGGTGACAATCGATAGGATCAAGTTCGCAAAATGGGAATTTTTGAGATTTAGGGTACCTGAAGCTTTTTGTCTATCTTGCGCAAAAACTATTCCGGATATTTGATCACGTATAAACGTATTTCAGAAAGCTATAATATGCCGAATTTTTATCTAACCACTATTTTTTTCTACTGAATATGCTGAAATATTTTTGGCAACAGATGAAATTACGTGATAGCAGATTCGTATACCTACATGAACTGAACTATTTTTTGACTGATAGCTTTTTTGTGATACATTCTTTGGGAACATATTCTGTAGGGTTGAAAAAATAACCTCAGAAAAAAGTAAAGATTTTCTACAAATGACGATACTCCAAAACCGTGCGTAATCGAATAAGGACATTTTTTTTATTGGAAATGACCCCCATATCACCCCCTTTCGTTTGATCCATGACTCTTCGTAGACCCTGTATAAGCACCAAATTTTGTGTAGAAAACACGTTACTGGATTTAGTTCCCAATTTGCTTATAAATTACAATCCTGTCTGTCACGTAAAGAAATTTTTGTAATAAATTTCGTTGGAATTCATGCACAGTCGGTAGAAAAAACTGTAACTGTCAACTTCGAACTGCCATTTATCACGTCAAAGTCGTAGTAACTACACTTTTCGTTGCGGCTTGCTACTTTATTACTTCAAATGAATAGAAAATTGGAGAAAATGGAGCGATCCCGTAATTCGCATATATTATAAGCGACTGCGGGAAAAGAGATCTGCGTTGTGGCTCCACACCTCATGAAAAAACGAAGTAAACGAAACCATACAAGAATTTGGTGTCGGAAATGGATCAGGGAGAAGGACCTGGGAATGGGTGTATTCCAGATGCTGAATAAAGGACCTCTAGTGAAAGATCAACTGGCTTATAGGCCTAATTGATTCTAAACTCATTCTGATTTTATCCAACGCAGCTTATTAGGCAT